TTCTCTAATCTAGTGGTCCCCTACGTAATGGGCAACATATGAGCTCAAAAGCTTTTAATCACTTGGGAACGTTCCCTCGTTAGATGACTACAGAAAATTATCTATGAAACACTTCATGTATCTTTTTCTTGCTTGGCAATAGATGAATTTTTCTCTAGCGAAGCAAAAAACATGATTTAACAGTAGTATTTTTTTCACGTTATGAGTCTGAAAAAAGAACTTTGAATAAGTTTCTACTGCTAACCAAAAAAATTACCTTAATCGAGAGAACCAAGCCGGAGATATTTCAATTTTTTATTGTAGTACTATATCGTCTCTCAGTCTTTAGAATAAAGATATTTGACTTCACGTCCTGGAAGTTATTAAATTCCACAGAAAATGTATAAAATATTTTTAGACAATAGAAGAAAGTTTTGTGAGTATTTTTATTTTTTGAATAAATAATTTGTCACACATTTTAACTATCGGAATCTAGTAAGAGGTATCCCAGCATTAGTATAAATAGATGCGTTTTACATACAGAAGAATGATGAACTAAAATACTATCTGATGATTTTGTTCACAAACAAAATTACTTGGATTTAATTTCAGTCTCGTTTAAGAATTTATCTAGCAAAATTGAAGTCAATGTTTCATTTTATCTGCTGTTGAAATTGAGCTGACGGATACCAATGGCTTTGACTTAAAATTATACAATCAAATTGAATATCAATAATCAAATGGAATCGATTGAAAATGTCACAATTATATTCGATTAGATTAACATTTAAATTTATTTCAAATTCAAATCTTATTAAATATGTAATAATTGATTATAATCTTGAAAAGGAAATTCTTTCTTCAATAGATAAATACTGTACCTTATTGCGCACTCATTTTCGACTCCTCGAACATGTTTTCACATATCGATATTCATCGAAGTTTCAACTAGTCAAATACAAGGACTATATTGGAAGGACACTGTTGAATGCTTCAGTAGAGGTATACAAAAAATAATGACAGATTTGACTGCTGAGCTTAATTTTGATTGAAAGAAACGTGTCCAAAATAGTGATTTTGAAATATCTTCTTTATTGAACGATCTTAACAGAATTATTTATGTTTAATATATATTTTACTTTAGTTTTATAAATTATCTAAGCCATATTTAATATCAACTGATGAAAATTTAGAAGAAAATTCATCAAGTTTCTTAACGGAAGCATACTCTTCTCGAATTTTCACTTTTTGAATCTTTGAAAAAAGTTTCTAAATAGTGATTTTATAGTTTATCAGACAAATCAGTTGGATATCGAATCAACTCTTTATATGATATTTGAAATTCAAGGAAAGTTGTTCCTTTAGTTAGAGACGTACAAGAGTTTGTTTTTCTCTTAATCGAAAGAATATTATAATTAATTTAAAAAAATGACTAGCAAATGCTAAAATAACTAATAGTCTTCAAAGTATTGTTATGTTTATGAATTGAAAAGATGACTTTCAAAGAAAAATGATAGTTTATATTTAGTTTAGATATTCAACGCAAAAAACAGTGATTTTTAGTCGTAATCCCTTAAAAACATTCTACTGGTTCGAATTTTTTCATTTTAAAATAAAATGGTTTTGGTTTATCAGAGTGTCGAAATTGAGTTTTATTCATTTATTCTGTTTTTGTCATATACTAATTTCAGTTTTCTTAACAAAAAAACGATATTCTAATCTCAATCTTGTTCTTTTGTGACAACGATCGATCCATTTCACAATCCCTTACTGGAACAAAATTGTAGCTAGAATTGTAACAATTTCAGTTCGACAGAACTGGTTGACAAGTTCTTTTGAAAAAAGAGCTGGCGAAAATCTGGCATATACCGCCTTTCCGAGTCGAAAAATCAGGTGTAAGATCTTGTAAAACCAGATATGATCGTACAAGAAATCTTAGTTTCAGAAAACTTGCATCAATTCTTAGCATAAGATCCTTGAAAGATCTTACTATTGCATAAGATTTCCTATAACCTTATAATCATATCTTATAATACAGTAAGCTCTTTCAAGAGTCTAATAGTTCGAATTAATGCAAGATTTTTGAGACTAAGATTTTTCGTACGATTTTTTGTCTGACTTTACAAGATCATACAAGATCAAATGGAGAATCTTGTTCGATTCTAGCATCTGACTGTTTCTCCTGGGTTTCTTTAATTAATAAGCACCGGCTGCTTTGTTGCAATGTCCAAAATGACTTCCATTTCTACATTTTTCAACAAAAAATGATGTCCCTACTTGACTTTACTATGGATTTCATCTAAGAAACTTTTCATCAACGCATGTAGATTATTAGATATTATTAAAGCAATGTGAATGAAATGGATAAAATGACCCAAATGGGCTTTAGAAACTTTGGTATCATGAAAAAGAACAAGTAAATCTCGACAGTATTAATTTATGCTGATAGTGTTTTAGCAATGAAGAAGTGAAACGAATGAAGTGGTGAAGTATGAGTGTGAAGAGAAGATATATACACTCACTCAAACTGTACATACGATAAAATAGAAATATTTTCCTTTAAGTACGTCAAGAGCAGTATAGATTTTAAATTTGTTACTTTTGGTATTGACAGCTTTAATTTGACCCGAACATATCTCATCTTATTAACTCACAACACAGACACACTTTCATTGTAAGTTATGAACAAATAGTTTTTCTTTTATTGTTGATTGTAAAAACTATTCAAGGTCATTGAATCAATATTTTAGGCTGTATAATGATGCACTTATCTGTCATTATTTTACTGGTGGTAACATGAGTAAATAACAACCTTCCATGAAGTGTAAATGCATGTTTGAATATCAATTGAAGAAATCAGCAAATCTTTTCCGCAGATATTATATGAAACGACCTTCATATAGAAGTCACGCTTTTAGTTATGCATTTAGCATTATACTCTTTGAATTTTTAAGTATTAAAAAAATTATCATAAGTAATGAAAGTAATTTTGTTAAACATCCGGTTTAATCAACAACCATTCATTTTTGTTATTTATGTGGACGTAAATCAAGCCTACATAAAATGAGAACACTCATGTTGAATTGCGTGGCACACTCTTGAGAGTGCTTTTTTGTTACATTTATCATGATATAATGTGACAACTTGTTATGAATATATAGGTTCATATTTTGATTCAGTTCCACTATCATCTAGTGCGTGACAAAAGTTTTGCTCGCATTGAAATCAATTTTTTATATTATTTTGACGGATGAGAACAAAATGCAGCACATATATATATAGTGAAGTTCGAGACATTTGCGCAACGCATTGTGGTTTTCTGGCTGTTTGTATCAACTTTGAGCAAAGTAAAAATATGTGAATACATCCATTCTTGGATGACTTGTTGAGAAATGAGATGGATCGTCTAAAGTGAGTTCGAGTTTATCACTTTTGATCACTCAGAGGGATGAGTTTCGGCTATGATCTGTCAACAGGTAATATTAAGAACAGTGAGCGCAAAATTTCGAATTGTAACTCGTTCGATAGAAATCCGTTAGCTCAAAACTTCGGTCTTATTTTATACGACTCAGCTCATCTCTCAACAAATCATCCAAAAATAGAGATATTCACATAATTTTGCTTTGCTCAAAGAAGAAGCAAATAATCAGAAAAGTGCTATGTGCTGCATAATTGTCTCAAACAGCATATGTATAACATACATATGCTGCATTTTATTCTTATCCGTCAAAATAATATAAAAAATTCATTTCAATGCGGGCGAAATTTTTGTCGTGTACTAATTAATGATGAACAAAATGCTTATTTAAAACTATATAGTAAAATCAGATAATTAATAATCTATTTGTATATTTCTAATTCTTGCGTTATTTTAATACTGCATAATTTCTGTGGAATTATCAAAGGACAAATGAAGAAAACCGAACTTTATTATTATTAGTATTATGGAGATTTCTCCTGTCGAATGATATGTTTATAATTTGATTTATTAAAAATATTTGTACAAGAAATATATTCATATTTTGATATTTTTTGTCTGCAAAATTTTTCATGACATGAATTCTTTTCGAATTTTCGTTTGGTATTTTTTTAAATTTAGTTATATAGAAAAAAAAACGTGGAATCGATCCAAAACTGCTATAACTTAAGTACAAAAATATACTTGATATTCATGAAAACAAATTGAAAAAGCAACAATAGATAATTAGTTAATGGTGTATATTATTTGATCTATTAATTATAATAGGATTGTGGTCGATTATCTCGTTTTAATAATCGATTAAATGTTCTTCGAAAATGTTTATTTGATAATGCATATAAAAATGGATTTATTGTTGAGTTAACATAACCAAGCCATATAGTAGCTGTAACAACTCGTTCAGATACACATGAACCACAAAAGGCAACCACCATGTATAAAATAAAATATGGTAGAAAACAACATGTAAAACCAAACACAATAGCAAATAATTGTCGAAAAGCTTTTTCTTGTTGATTCCATACTGTTGTTTGTTTAATACTACTTGTTGTTCGATAATGATGATATTGAGATATTGCATGTGGATTTATATGTGATGTTATACTATTTGTTGTTCTTTTCAAAGATGGTATCGATTGTGATTGTTGTTGTTTTCGATTTATTGATGAACGAACTACAGATGATGATGATGATGATGATAATATTGGTCGTGCTTGATTATATGATTCATTATTTGAATTCTTATGATTATTTACAAATGAATTTGAATGTATTGTAATCGTTGATGTAGTTGCTGAACAACAATGACATAAATTAAAAATATTCATTGTTGTTGATGGAGGAGATATATTTATTGAATCTAATAATGAATTATGACGATGTAATAATGTTGTATTATGATATGATGTTTGATAGGAATGATGATTATACCATGATGGTGATTTCGATGAATCATGTTTTATTTTTTGTTTATTTAAATCTGTTCGACTTGAATTATAATTATTTATATGGTTAAATGAATGTTCATTAATATTAAGATGATGAAAACGATTATGATTATATTTATAATTTGGTAAAATTGTTGGTGACATCGGCGTAAATGATGAATGTGAATGTCCACGATGATGTGCAAACCATGTTAATTCATCCTGAATGAAAAAAAAAAGAGAAAGAAATAGAAAAAAAATAAAATAAAATATATAAATTGAATTGTTGTTTCTTTTTTGTTTAATTACTTGTGTACAATGATTTTTATCAATATATGAATAAGCACGTTTTAATGATGATTTTGAATGATCAACTAATCGTATCGGTGTACTAGGTCGATTTTTTTTCTCTTTAAAATTAATTCGTAAAACTGATTCATTATTATTTGTTAAAGATCTAGATGAAAGTTTTGACATGATCTGACCGTCATTTTCTGCATAATTTATTGTTGAAGAATATACATGTCGATCAATATCACATAATGTTATAGTTATTGGTGAGCATGAATTGTGTCTTTTATAATTTACTTTATGACTATATAAATTATTATTATTATTATTATTATTATTCATCATTAATTCATTCATACTACTTGAATTTCTTTGTAAAAGAACATTTTTATAACGACGTTTTATTTCATAATAAATACGACCATTTAATAATATTAATACAAGAAGTGGTAAATAAAAATTGATCATAGCTGTTGAAACTTTAAATACCTTTGAATGAGTATATTCAGGTTCACATTTATCCGGCTAAAAGAAGATCAGATTTTGTATTAAAAAAAAATGTAAATTAATAAAATCATACTTCAATATATCGTTTTGTTTTATTAAAACGATGCCAACTAAAAATTGGTATAACCCATAGAAGTGACAAACCCCAAGCAAAGCCAATTAATAATAAAGCTCGCGTACGTGTTCGTTTACCAAGATATTGAAGTGGAGATGTTATAGACCAGTAACGATCTAAACTTAATGTTAATAAATTGAATATAGATGCTGTTGATGCTGTGAAATCCACTGATATCCAAATTTTACAAAGAACAAGACCTTAAGAAAAAAATAATAACACAATTTCTTTCTAATGATTTATAAATTCTGTTAATTTATTTAATTATATTTTTTTTTTGAGGATGATAGACTTAAATAAATATCGAATACAATAACGTGATTTTGTTTCTTTTTTAATGTAAGTTGTTTATCTAATTAGCATAATTCTCTTTGTATTGATATCTATTGAATATGTTTTCATGCTATTCATCGATCTATTCAATAGAATAAACTTTATAATGACATGAGGATCACTTTGTTCCTATTTATTTTATTCTAAAAGAGAAATAACAAATATGCTTTTGATCTTGAAAATGTCTTTGCTTTATAATTAATAGGTTCAAAGAATACAAAAAGCTTTCATGCAAGTCATTTAACAAACATGCTCATATTATTCGTCTTTCTTGTCTTTTTAATTATTACCACATACTTTTCTTTTATTATATTTATTTAAAATTGACCAGTACATTAGAATGTGTTTTCTTTCTCTTGTAAGGTATATTGTAAATATCCTAGATTGATTGTCATGTTTAATCAAAGAAATGATTTAATAAATTAAAGTACATCAACAATTTATATTGGGGTGAAAGAGAAGAAAAGAATTTACCCATTTTCCATTTTTCCATAATAGCATATATACCAGCTATAGGCATGACAAAACAACCAACAATAAGATCAGCAGTAGCAAGACTTAATATAAATAGGTTTCCAACCTAGATAAAAGAAAAATATAATTAGACTTAAATTAAATGCATGAAAGTAAAAAAAAAATTAATTTCTATTACAAGTGCATTAGAATTTAATAAATCCTTCGCTAGTATTTATTTATATCTTTATTGACATGTACTTAAATAACTTATACAAAACAATACAAATTTATCATGATCGCGTGATATATTAATTATGAATCTGTTTTTTTTCTCACTATTTTCAATCGGTCATCATTTAATATATCCTGACGCTTTTGTTTCCTTCCATTTTCTTCTAATTTATGTTTTTTCCTTTTTTTTTAAATATACGTAAAAAAACTATAACGCATTTTATTAGTTAGATGCTTTATTTTCATCATGTTTATTTTGTTAAATTTTTCGCATATTGATTTTTATATAAATACTTTTTAATTGATTATTTCTAAGTAAATGAAAAAAAATACTTTTATTAAATAAAAGTAATATCGATTTAATTATCTGACAAAATAACATTCATAAATCAATACCATAAATCTTGGTCAATCTCATCAAATGAACTCTGGTTTTTGTTTGTTTTGTATTCACAAGTTTATTGATATGTATGAAAGTTTTCTCTCAATTGGTCAACCATTCAAGAAAATAATCTAAATACTTTTACTATATGAAATTTTGCTAGTACTCACAGTTCGTATACGACGAAATGTAATGAGTACGAGTAAATTACCAGTAATTGTTAAAAAACAGAGGAAAGCACAAACGAAACCAAAAATAATTGTATATGCTAATGATATTGGCTTAAAATCATTTATTAAATAATTTTCATTGTTGTTTCGATTTCTATGCGTTATATTATCCAGATCAATCTCTGACATATTTGCAATACCAATTGAAAGAGCATGGGTATAACGAACAGAATATGTACTTTGTTGTTGTTGTTGTTCTTCACCAAGAAGAAATTCGTCGATACTGCTCATGAATAGAAAAAAAGGGACAAGTGGCAGATGATATAATCTCAACTAGCTAATTTCATTTCGTTTATTGAATAAAAGTTGTAACAGGCTAATGACAAAACTCTTTTTGTATCATTGTCGATAGTGACATCGGAAGAATGTCAAGGAGAAAGAAAGAGAGAACAGAATGAGAGAAAACTTGTCTTCCTTATTGAACGAGAAAATAACGGGAATGATAGAATAAAGAGAGAAATAGCAAAAGCTGAAAAGAAGTAAAATGACATAACAAAGAATCCCAACAATGATTGAGAAGATATTGTCTACTGCAGTGTTTTTGAATAATTTTTAATAATCTTGATATTATTCTTCTAACATAATATAAAATAATAGTCGATCTAGCAATTTTATATATGTGCACGGTTCAACAAAAAAGGTGCAATGATGATTAATAAAAAACATTTTGAAATCCTTGAGAAGTAATATCAGATCAGTTTTGAACTTTTTCTACTGAGAAAAATTGAAACAAATTTTTGGCAGGAAGAGGCCATGGCTTCCAATGTATCGCTTAAAATTCGCTATTGATATAAAGATATTCGAATATTATCACTCTATATCAAACAAATTTTTTCATAATGACAAATTTTCGTAATATGTATGACTCAGTTGTTTCTTTTGTTTTGCTTTTTTTAGCGTATCTTTGTTATCATGATATTTACGGAGTGTTTAATGAAGTTTTTGATGCCAGATATAAAGAAAAAGATTTTCCAGCTGAGACACCTGCTATGTAGGTAGATAATGAAGTTTATTTTTTCTGATTGTTGTTCGACAAAAAACAGAGATCAATTATAAAACTTCAAAGAAAACTAAAGTCTGGTGTTATAAAAAAAAGAGACGAACAACAATCAATTACTGAGAATGAATTGCTAAATTATATATAAATATGCACATAAATTAATCGTACATTTTAAGTCATATTTTGTAAAGGTCATAAATACAAGAAAGTACAAGAAAATACCGATAAGCGCTTTCTTCAGTATTTTTATTTTTTGTTGGATTTTATCATCGAGTTTATTTTACATTGTTCTGAGTGTATGATCGTTTATTATAGCCTAACAAAGTATATATACGGCTACAGGTAACTATGTTTATATTGCAAAGATATCAATTTCCATGTCCCTTCTTCTTCTTAATAAGATTTTTTCTAAAAGCCTGTTTGATTGAATTCATTTATACATAGACTCATTATAATATCACTTATGTAGTTTAGATAAACAAAACTTAGAATATGCCATATACAATATACTCTGAAGGTCGCACTTATATGTATACATGAATTCAATCAAACAGGCTTTTAGAAAAANAATTTCCATGTCCCTTCTTCTTCTTAATAAGATTTTTTCTAAAAGCCTGTTTGATTGAATTCATTTATACATAGACTCATTATAATATCACTTATGTAGTTTAGATAAACAAAACTTAGAATATGCCATATACAATATACTCTGAAGGTCGCACTTATATGTATACATGAATTTGCTGGATGAATGAAGATGCAGAAAATTGACGACAAGAGAAAGTGAAAAACTTGAATAGTGTAACATAAACATAAACAATAATCGATTTATTTATTTGTTTAAGTTAATATCAAATGTATATATAAATTCCTAATATTAAAAAAAAGTAACTACGTATTTGATTCGTTTATATTTAGTATATGGTGCACTTTACGCTACAAAAAATAAGGAATCTTTTTTTTTTGCTAAATCTGATGCTTATTAGAGTAGGAAAAAATTATTTGTCGATGGATACTATTTTTTGTCAAATTAAGATACATTTTCACAATTAGAAAATCATTAATTTGTTATAAATATAAAGAAAGTATTTATATTATTTTCTATTAATGATTATCATAGTAGAATAATTGTGAAAATGCTTGTTTCTCATTTATGTCTGATAATTTTATAACAGAAAAAAATATTTTTATTTATACTCATTTTCACATAACTAAAAAAAGTGAAGGGAAAAGAACACTGTGATTAAAGATTTTTATTTATCTTCCTTTTTTTTATCAAATTAAATTTATTATTAAATACCGTTACACAAAAAATATAGTATACGATAATATGATTATTATTCTTGATAAATACAAATTAGAGAGCATGATTAATACTTTTTAAGAACAATATTGAGAACATTTTATCATATATTTCACAGCAGTTTATGAAGATAAATATATGATCTTCATAAGATTATTAATGTAGGTATTTAGAATTAAATAATTATCTCTAATCGAATTAGCTTGATGTAATTTATTTACAATAAAAAATTGAAAATATTAGGTTTTTCATTGTTATTTGCTCTACAAAACTAAATGAAATTTATAATTATTCATTAATTATATATTCTATTAGTCTAAGATGGATATGAATTTTAGTACTTGTTATAATAAGGTCATGGAACTCAATAGTTTTTGTTGAACTGCATCTAACAATAAAAATTATTCGACAAGAATTCCTTTTTTTAAGAAAAATTATACTATCATTTTGTTTTAACATGTGTAGACTATTGACGATGAGGTAATTTCTAAAGGCTCTTTCATTGTTTTTTCATTTGTAAAAATCTTTTCTCTCTTATTTAACTATTTTTCTTTCACAAGGATATTCACTTCAATTCCCCTTTTCACAAACATATATAGAATAATAATGATTAAAAGAAAAACGTAATAATGGTCCTGACAATTTTAGAAGCATACTTTAAAATGGTTAAAGTGACATGTTATTCTGATGTGACTTGAAGAGATTCGAATAAAACTTTGCAAGACTTAGTTTTGCTTGCTCAACATCAGAACATTTAATATTTTCATACAATGAGTGATTTTAATTGTTTCATTAAATTTTGATAATCTCTTAGAAAAATTGATCATATTACCGTTCTTAAATCACGATTGGTTCGTAAAGCATAAATAACAATTGTATTGCCAAAAATAGTAATAAAAGAAAGACTAAACATAGTCATTGCTAGAAGAATAATATGAACCAAAGATGAGACACTATTAAATTCATTTGTAAATGTTTTATTATCGTATGTATGAATTCCAGACATTCCATCAGAAAAATACCTAAATTATATGTAGAAAAAGAAAAATAAGAAATAAATCTTGTATATAAATTTGAGATTTAGACAGTAAAACATTAGTAAACAATGATTAAGATTTTATTAAAATATATTTAACACTGACTATCGAATGATTGTTGTCAATTTATATGTTGTGAAAAAGATTTTATTTCATATTTCATGCAAACGAAATTTATAATGCTAAATGACAGGTTTAACGCTATCTAATCTTTTCGATAAATATTCTTTTGCTCAATGTTCTTATTCAACTTATTTGAATCATCATAGGAATTCATGCATATAAGGTGAAATAGATTCTATTTTTAGTAAAAAAGTTCTCTCAAAAAAAAAAACTTTTCATTAGAATTCAAATTGTCAGACTAGAAATATATATTTTTTTTTGATTTACTTTGTAATAGAGATATGTTTGTATTTAACATTTTTAAATAAATCATTGAGAACAATTATTCTGTCTATATTGTATCAATGAATTAGTTTTCTTTGTTAAAACAACACAATAGCGCAAACCCTTTCAGGATGCATTTAGAAAAAAACATTTCTATTGTTTTTCTTAAAAACTGTTTTTCATTGTGTTTATGATGTTTGAATCCGATATTTAAGTATTGCTTAGAATAGGTCATTGGAAACAGTAAAGTCAAAAGGATCATAAATACGTCATTGATTCTATTGAAATATCTCGTGATGAAGAGAGATTTTTTTATAAGTATTTATGAATGTGTTCAAATTATTGGATATAAAAAGAAAATAATTTGATCAGTATGAACTATGAATCAATGTTTTATCATATGATGCTATTTCGAAGTTATTAGAATATTTTTTTCAAATAATTTACTTCGTATAAACAATGACATTGGCTTTTGTAAACAACTAAATACGGGAATGTATGACAACAGTTTATGATGCATTTTGATTTTTTTAAATAAAAACAAAGAAGAATAGTCAATTAGGATAATGAAAAAGAATACAATATCAGTACTTTCTATTAAGCAATATTTAATACTTGTCTCAATACTTCAGTAATGAATGCCTTAAGTTATTTTAGATTTCTTCTGAATTAAAATTTTGTCTTGAGATAATATAGACACATCTCAGATAAATGATTACTCTAGGTTAAAAGACTATTACAAGTTAAAATTATGAAAAGAAAATATTAGATTCATTATTTCATTTTTCTTTGCATTGTTAAGTACTCTGTTCTTGTTATCCGATGATAAATATTCATAATTGCTGAGATAATGACTACGCATCTTTCGTCGCTATAGTCATTTATCTAAATGTAGTACAATATATCTGAATAGTAATATAAACATAAAAAATATTTCATATGCATTAGTGAAGTAGACAAACATTTCTATAAAAGTATTCATTCTAAATATTCAATATTAGAAACTAAATATTTTTTTTTCGCGACTTTATTTTCTTAGATATAAGTAAAAGTACTGTTAATAGTATCTCTATAGATCCATCTCTCGATACATTCTAATATTAAATTCTTATTACTGTAAATCTTTAATTTAATTTCATAATGATAATTAACTTAGAGAATATTCAAAGCACGAATCATTCTGTTGGGAAAAATCCCTCGCTTCACTATAATACATTCAACTACTATAGAAACACTATAGTTTGACTTCATAACATGCATAAATGTTATCTCGGAAGACTAATTAATTTATTTTCTCAAAACAAAAGAATGCATTAGATCATAAAGTTCATATTTTTCTTATTAAAAATATCTTCTATAATTAATATACTCACGATGTGTATCTATCAAATGGCTTCAGTGGTGCACTAATGTTGCTAAAAAGATCATTTCCATCTAATATATCATTGAAATCATTATATGGAAGGAATAAAGGATACAAATGAGTAGTGGTATCAAAATTTGA